GGCTTCCTCAGGCGTTACCTCCGGCTCTACTGGAATAGGAGCAGGACTTGGTTGATCCTGCAAGTGTGACGGTGCTGCCTGGTGTCTCGTGTCATTGGCAAATTCGTCAGGTGGTGGTGTTAGACCAGTGTTGCACCTGGTTGAGGTGGAGTAGCGCGTGTGTTCTTGAGGATACGATGCCCAGGGTGCCCAATATTGCCATGGTGGTGGGTAGGGCATAGGTGGTGCCATCCAGGGGTTCACCTCTCAGGGGGCAGGATCCTGAGAATAGGATGAGGTAATTTTTCTATAACCTCTGTTGACTGGGGTCTGGGGACAGGAGTCTTGATATGGTGAAAAATCCCCCTGTGGTTCAGCTTCCTTCTCACTGGAGGAAGGCTGTTCAGAACCTGACTCAGCCATTGGAGAGAAGCAGGCATTCAGCAGGGGAGACTACGGGATAGGTGATACAAACAGATCTCTTGCCTGAGTAAACTGAAGTGCTGAGGCTCCTGTGTGAGGTGAAGGCTGTGCAGGAGGAAGTTGTGGTGAGGGAACATACCTCTGAGCCGGGGTTTTGTTTCTTGGCTCACTGCCAATCAGCTCCGCCGGTGCCGTGGCCGGTGCTGGAAGTGCAACATCAGCCTGTAGGGGGTCAGGCAGGTTGTGGAATGTCAGCACCGCGTCCATCGCGGTGCCAAACAGTGCCAGAAGAGAGGCAGGCAGCTAGAAGCCTAAAGCCTCGGCACCGGAGCTTTGTGCCGCCGCCGCAGCCTCAGGCTGGTTTCGCGCAGTGCCGGAGGAGCCCGGCTCATCAAAGGTGCTCAGGCGGGGAAGCACAGGCAGGGAAACTATGTGCCTCATAACCTTCTTTGGTGAAGAAGGTTGCCCTTTTTTTGTAGATTTTTTTAGCTTCTTTGAGGTGGGGGGGGCTGTGTTGGGCAGCAGAGCTGGAATCAGCGCCTGGGTCTGAAACTGAACCCAGAGATTTTTGAAGGAGGAGCAGTTTGAGTCTAAGCTCCCTGTCCTTCCATGCCCTGGAGCTAAGTTTGCTACAGTGGGCACATCTTTGGGGAATGTGGGCTTCCCCCAAACATTTTATGCATTGTGAGTGGCCATCTGACAGCGGGATAGCCTCCTTGCATGTAGAACAGCGCTTGAAGCCTGTCCTTGGAGGCATGTCCGAAGCGGCTGCGGCTGACAGGAACAAATTTTTTGTTTTTTTTGTAACAGATAGAAGTGGTAACTAACTATACTAACAACAAACTAACTAACTAGAAGGCAATTGTAACTAGATGAAAGGATTTCTAAACGAGTCTGCTGAGCTCCGTCTCAGGCCGGGGACGGTAGAGAAGGAACTGAGGAATCCGGCCACGCATGCGTACTATTAAGCTAGACTTAGAGCAGGGGGGCAGCCTCTGCGCATGTGTGGCCAGTACGAGTACTGCTACAAAAATCTCCGAGCAAAGGCGCAGGGACGGACCAACACCTGGAGTGGAGCACCCACAGGGACACTCATCTCGAAGAAGAACCTATACCTCTAGCTGGGGGGAAAAGATTGATGTTGCTGGCTTCATTTGTTTACTTAAGTTAGTACGAGGGAGGGATAGTAACATTTGGACCTGCACACATGGGTCATTTTTTTTTAAATGACTATTGATTTAGGGTGCTTAATTTGAGACAGCTTAGAGGGCTCTGATTTTCAGGGGGCAGGTATTCAGCACTTCTTTAAAGTCAGGCCCCTTTAATATATCTCAAACTGGGCACCCAAAACATCACTAATCAGGTGAAGATCTTGGCTCTGAATCAATGGCATTTCAGTTTCTGATCTCTGCCAGCAGGCATTGTTTCCTTTCAGTCTACAGTACAACCCCTTCTGTGCTAAATTACTATACTCAACCCCTTCTCTAGCATAGTTTGTAGTTTATGGAATATTGCATTGCTTTTTGCTCTGCTCTGCAGTATGACCACTTTTTAGTAGTATTACAGTTAAGAGAAACTGTAAGGACCATATATCCATGCTTACAAACTATCAAGGAACTTTTTCTATTGCTCTTCCCCCATACCAATACTACCGGGAAATCAGACTGAAAGAAGAAATACAGTCTAATGACCTGATTCTGATCCACATTCAGCTAATTGTGGGAGATATTAAGCTCCAAGCTGACTAGTCTCAGAGGGAAACAAGTTTGCCTTCTCTTGACAACTGCTACAATTCTGCACTAATAGAGCAAAGGGAGCAAGGGAGGGAATTGTTTTTCTTCCAGCCTGTTTTGCATGTTTACTTAGGGCTTCTCTACACAGGGGGAAAGTCCAAAGTAGCTGTTGTGCACTAGCTATTCTGCATTAACCACCACAACCACCCCCATATGGATACCCTTACTGAGTACTAAAAGGGCCCTTGTGCCCATTAACATACTTCCAATCTGAATTAAATTAAGTTAAACTACCTAAGGGTACACTTAATGCACAGTAAGAGTGTCCACACAGAGATAGGGTAAGAATTTAAAGTGATCCATTGTCTACAGCCAAGCTCTAAGATATAACCGCATTTGCTCCAATCACTCAGACAGAGACAAGCACCTACAAGATCTCTATCAAGCATTCTTAAAACTACAATACCCACCTGCTGAAGTGAAAAAACAGATTGATAGAGCCAGAGGAGTACCCAGAAGTCACCTCCTACAAGACAGGCCCAACAAAGAAAATAACGGAACACCACTAGCTATCACCTTCA